TGAACGCAGAAGGGAGAATTTAGGATACAAGAAGGATGTAACAGGCATAATTTTTGTTGTATGTAAGTTAAATAAATCGTGCAGAAAAGTGCGGAGTGGCGTACAACGCGTCGCAATTTCAAGATGGATATTTCTTCGGGCGATAAATAATTCTAACCGTAGTCATCAGTTTGCCCGCGTTCCATTAAGGTGCCCTGCGTTTCTCGGGCGAGCATCTCGGGAAAGATCTAGCTTGGTGGCATCGTTCGCATCGCGAGGTTCGTCACGTATGCTCGTGGGGCGTCGTCTTCGGCTGGCTGCGGAATAACAATATTTTTGCGGCGCCATCCGCGTCGCGCGAAGATATTCCGCCGAGCGGTCGGCGGAGACGCGAGAGGCGCGGAAACTGGCTGGCTGCCGCGTAACCGGGGAAGTGAGGATGCGGAAGAAGAGAAGACGGGGGACGCGAGGCATGGACAGAACGAAATTTCAGGCTGCCTGACGGAATGCGGGTCAGACGTTAAACGCGGTATCGGCCTGCCGGCGGTACAGAATCTGGAGCGACGAGGCACTCTCTCTGGCGCTCGTGGCGCGTACTCGCGCCGGCGATAATGGAAAAGCTATGTTTGCCGCAGAGATACGCGACCGCGCGGTATACAATGCAGCTACTCAAAAAATCGCGGCGCGTGAAGATCGTGCGGGAATTCGAGGCCGGATCTGCGGAGAGCGCGGCTCCGCGCGGCTCCGCGGTGCTTATCTGAATGCGATAGGAGCGAAATGTGATAAATAAAAAAAAAAAATGAAGACGTGATAATAGTGATCGTGTTTTCGATCGCTCGTGTTTACGATCTCTTTCCTAATTATTTTACATCAGTTTTAGAATATTCGTTATATCTTGCGCGTCAATTTCTTCGGAATTCCTTGGCTTATGCGGGCAGGCAGGCGGGATTCCGGCATCCAGCGTGCCGGTTACTGCGAGTAACGGATCCTGGTGTCAATGACCGATGTAATCGTCGAGTATTGATAACGGGTCGAAGTACTCGTTTTCTCTTTGGGCGCGCATTCCCTGATAACGCCGCGCATCATCGATGATGTCGATGCAATGCTGTTTTGAACGGTTTATCTACGAGCCTAAGGAGATGGCAATTATGAAAGGAGAAGGCAATTAAGAAGGTTCCAGTTACCTACGACCAGTAAGAGTTTAGATATGTCTATGTTTCGTAATATCCTGGATTTACGGTACTTGTTACCGTGATACACGTTGTGTTTAATTTGATGAACGCAAAACTTGAACTTTGGAATTAACATTCATACGTTGAGTGTCGCGTAGTTTAACTGACGTTATTAAATTTTATATAAAAAAATTGATAAAAATTTGTTAATAATATTGTATATAATTGTGTAGCTATAATTAATATTACAATTTAATATTCTAAAGTGTTTGTAATTTTGAACAATTGAAAAATCAGATATTTTACAAGCACCAATATCAAGCAGATAAACATATAATAACAATAAACACGTAGTAAAAACTTTTTATTTTTAATATAATATATTTCATTAATACTACTTTACTTTCTCTCTCTTTCTTCCTGTATTCTCTCTTTAATGTTTCAATGGTTTCTCAGAGAGAGTTAATCTTGCGGATTCACTTACAACGCTAATTTAAAAGAAGTCCAAATACTCCAAATCAGTCAGTTATACGGGCACGGAAGAGATGACAAGTCAGGAAATTGTAATTTTTATTTCCTCTTTCTCCAAACATAGAGTTATCAAGTTACAAGTTCTTGCAGCACCATCACTTAGCGTGAAACGCTCCGCCTATGAATACAGGGGGCGATTGCTTCGCAACGGGCGGCGCAATTCCGATATTGATATAGGGGGATGGTATCGATATATGTCGACGCTGGCTCGGGCAAGACGATTCGCGCCGAGATCGAGTTATCGCGAGTTATTCGTTCGAGCTGCGAAGAGGCAGCTCTCGTTATCCGATTATACGATTTATTTTACGAGTATATGCGACGGGCGGAAGTAGAACCGCGGGGGGTGGGCGGCGGGATCCAAGTGGATAATGGCAGAATAGATATAGGGTGAATGCACCGGGTATTCACTCAATGGACAAGTATGCGTATTGCGCGTTCGGCGCCGATGGTCGGATATTTACTTTCGACCATCGTTTCATTTTTTTTTTCTTTTTTGCGAAATCGTCCGATCATCCTCAAATACGCTTTTAGCATGCATGCTTGATCGCGCATATATATTTCAAACGGATTCCTCGGCGTCGCGACGGCATTTAATTGCGGTACCGCAAGAGATCTCGTTTAAACCGCACCGTGATACGATAGCGCATTGATATGCAATATCCATCCGATTTATTAACAGCTTCATTTACGTGACGTTGAACTCGACATTCTGCATTCTAATGAAGTGATGATGCTTGACCTCCGCCGAGATATCGTTTCCACATAATAATATGCCAAGGGAAGGATTAATTATTTTTCAATTCAATTTAATATTGCGTATTGTAATATCGAGAAAATCGCGCATTATACTTATTAATAGCGTATGGCGAATTGGGGGGAAAATATCTCGTTAACTCCTCCTTGAACTGTCATTGCGTTTGACGCGCGTTTGTCTATACGATTTAGCAGTTATTCAGCAAAGTGGCCTGTCATAGCGATAAATAACTGACCTTCCCTCACGTCAGTTTTATAATTTCGTTGTGGAATATCCAGACTTCGCACACACTATGACAATTTTTGTATCCAGTAAGCGAAAAAATGGATGTGCTTCCTGTTACGTTTTCAGGGTCAGAGGTATTAAAATTGCAATTAGCGACTCTTGAGCTTAGAACAGATGATGACATACATAGCTATTACGTCTGCGTATCATGTTCTAGCTAGATAAAGTGTGATGTACAAAGGCACGCACGCACGTTAAAAGACAGGATATTCGGATAACAAATGTATTTATAAAATGATAATGTCCAAATAAAATGATAATATCCATTAGAAATAAAAATAACATTAAACAATTCTTTAACGTTATTTTACAATTTTTTTTATTAATTTCTTATAATATTTATTTTAAAAATTGTCAATCTCAAATCGAGATTCTCTTAAGTTTGAGACATCGTCCCAAACTTAAGAGCTAAAGGATAATTTTTTGAAAAATTTTACCTTCGTACCTTTTACGCGCGACTCTTAAAAAGCTTTTAAAAAGCTTTGCTGAAAATCGGCTGCGACTCGCGCGGAAATCGCCAATTTTTAGGAAGAAACTTACTTGAATTTTCGACAGCGAATATCACGCCATACTGCCTACCTATTACCGAACATCCTGTAAGGAGGAAACGCAAAGGAAGTGCATCCGGGCGGAAGAAGCCTTAAGAAATTTTCGGGCTCGCTGGAGAAGGGTCTATACACGGGTTTCGTTTACGTTGCCACAGGTACACGGTACGCTTGATTACAATGCTGGATATGTCGGTGTCTCGTTCCGTAAGGGCGCACCACAATGAAAGGTAATCCAAGCCTCACGACGTAGATGGACCGTGTCTTCGTCCCGTTCATGGTATAGAATTACCGGCACGCTACGGGATTTTCGATTCACCCGTATTTGGATCTTGAGAGAGCCTCACGGGGAAAAAAGAATTTGATGCGCCACCCTCTCTCGGGAATTCGATCGTCAAGGAAATACGTCAGGCCGATAGGAGTTTTCGCCTCTAATGGAATAGCGAAGCTCGTTTCGACTTACGCGGTGCCACGATAAGGAAACGTCGTCCAAAAGGAATGAAAAATGATATTGTGCGCGAGCCAATGCGAGACGATTCGCAATTCTTCAGTGATTTCAAGCATGACATACCTCGCATCATAATAATAATGGCTCGTTATATCTGTTGGAGAGCCAAGTGTATAAAATATTTTTGATCGGCCGAACGAAGATAATAAATGATGCTATAAAATAAAAAAATAAAACTAATTATCTTTTAATGAAGGCAACGTGTATAAAAAATTGTAAACCAATTTAACAAATTTTAGAAGAGATCAAGAATAATGAAGTATATATTGTGAAAGTGGATACTATATTCGTTCGTATGAAATGTCTTGACGAAGTTCATAACTCTGCGTTCGAGATATGGCACAATTGTGAAAGTAGAGTTCTGGGTTAATTCACTTTCGCACTTATATCGTCAGTGCGGGATGGTACAGGCAAGATTCAATAACGTGGGTCTCGTGTGTGACAAATCGCGCGCTGCGAGCCGTCGTCGCCGGCGTCGCTGGCGGATGACTTCAATCAATTAGGGATGCTCGTTCGCCTAACTCAATTATCTGCTCTGCCCTGGCAATTTATAGGATTATTAACACCCTTACCGGACCGATATTCCGATTTTAACTTATCGATTTTCGATCGGCGGATTAAAGGACTCGTTTCCGCTTGTCTGCAATGTGTAATTTGCAACGTCGTTTAAATAAGACTAATCTTAACTGCGTGACGACAAAATAATTTCCATTTCTGTAAAAAATGGTTTGCATTATTAATAACGAAATAATTACACTATTTTGAATGTCTTGCGCGGATAGATATTTCGGTTTTCGATGCTTTTATAATTGTTTGTGGAACTTATATTTTCGACAAGGGAAGACATTACAACACCTGTAGACTATTTAGAATTACGAGATTAATAGTAATATTTACACAATCTGAAGAAGTGCTCATGTCCCTAGACTAATTTCAGTACCTATATCCCTAGTTTTTATTATTCCATTAATTACACAGTTATATTTACACTTACTGAAGATATACTAAATTATATAATTATGAAATAAGCTCATATCTTGATTAACAAGTTGATAAAATGTAAATTTTCAGAAAACATTAACGAGTTTGATAGTGTTTAAGTTTAATTAATCAAAACTGACAAAATTTATTTAAAATCTAATTAGAAATATAATATGTTGCACAAATTATGGAATTATATATTTTAAACAAAATAGAAATGAATAAAACTTAAACTATGTATTATGTATTTTGTAATATAATTATTTTAAAATTATATTAAAACTTCAACGTTTATAATTAAATTATAATATAATATTATAAAATTATAATAAAACGTTATGCTTTAAATAAAATTAATAAAATGTTCAAAATTTATTAATTGTCACAGTAGAATGAATTAAATTTAATATTAAATATTCATTTTTTAAATATTTTCCAAAGTTTTTATAGTACGGCATATAATGCATTGCGCATAATGGTTTGTATTATTACATGGATAATTAATAATTAATAATTATATATATGTATACCAATTAACGTGCTAACATGTGTGAATCCTTCTGTAAACTTCGTAGTAAACGGTTAGGTAGGTAGTTTCAAATTACTGCTTGAAACAAGGTTACTATTTCAAGGAAAACAACATACTTCGTGTCATCATCCTTCTCTCAACATACTTCGCCTTATCATCCTTCTCTCTTTCAAAGATCGATTAATCATTACAGACAATGCGCACTTTGAGTGTGCACATTGAACGATTCGGATATTTATGTTTTTCGATGAATATCCGAATTATTTTGTTATTAAAAATCTATTTGATCTAGTAAAATAATCAGAAACAAATAATCAGAAACAATATAATGGTTGTTTTGAGAACATCTGATTGGCAATGTACATAATTCTTGAAGCACAACCGTTTATACATCGTATACACGTATATATGTAAGATATTGTAATTTATTTAATTATTTTCTGACATAGCACGAGAAGGTCATTATTACGGTCATTATTACGGTATAAATACACATCGTTACTATCATATAAATACACGAGACGATATTTAATCGTGTCTTGAAATTGGCGGTTTCTTTTGTATTTTTCATTCAACTTTGACGTCAATAAATGAGAAAATTTATTTATGTTATTTACATCACTATTATTTTTTTCTTATACAAAAAAGTAATTATGCGATTTCTGTGTAGAATAACCTATGATCCAAGAAGTTTCTTGACTCTTATATAACATTTAAATGATCACTAATTGACCAGTTAAACATTTAAATTGTTTGACTGGTCAATTAGTGATCATTTTGAATACGCTTCTGTCTTTAAAAGAAACTATAATAAGGAATAGAGAATGAGCAAATAAAATAATTATCAACAAATCGATATACATATCGATTTTGAGCTTGATCGAAGAATCTAACGAAATAAAGAAGGAATGCAATGAACTCGGAACATCCATTTGGATTTGGATTAATTTGGTATGCATGCCTGAGAGGAGGAACATGCCTTCTCCTGGAATATCGATCGTTACGATCGTCGCTCGGGACGATCCGGAAATCGCTCGTACGGCGTCCCGCGATTCAGAAGGTGGCACGCACGTGATCCGTCTGGCAGGTGGAAAGATACCGTACGTGCTGGCCAATGCGGCGATCGCGGCGACGATCCAGGAAATCTGGATGAACAGGAGAGGAAGAGACGAAGCTGTATCGCTCCCTGTTCCTTGGCAGTTGCGCGCGAACCATCGAGCGGAGCGGAGCGGTGGTTTTCGGCGGTGATCCGGCGATCCTGTTCCCCGACCGACCGGTGCTCGATGGTACGAAGTGTCGTGGAATAGAAGTCCAGGCAGCCACGAATTCGAGAGATTCCTATCGTGTGAGTTCAGCGTTCGGTATTAAACGGAATCGGAGTTTCTCGGCGGCTTTCTCGGCATGCAACGGCAGGAAAACTTTGAACGTATTGCAATTTAAGTTGTGATGTAGCAGTCTTATGATAACAGAATTTCGATATTATTGGAAATGTGTATATGAATTTTCAAGAATTATCTTAGCGAAAGTATGTATATAAAGGATTGGAATGTTCAAGATGTGAGATCTTGATCTGCGACGTAGAAAAAATCATGTTGAGTCAATAGCAGTGATTGAATGTAATCTTATTAATTCAATAGCAGTGTTAGTAAAAAGAAAAATATGAATGCATTTATTTTATTAATATTTAATATTGTTACTAAATTTATACAATTATTTTCAATTACACTTGATGCCTGTTGACTCATTTTTTTTGTGCAATGCTTATTTCATTCTGGTATTAATTTATTCAAATCAATTATTTTAATTAAAATATTGTTCCATTTTGTAAGAAAAGGAATATAATATAATTTACTGTAGAAATTATACAATATATTAAATTTATTACGATTATCGATTATATTCTTGAATGATGTTCTTGAATGATGGAAAAAGGTATTTTTTGGTATTTAAATCTCTTTGGTATTTAAATCTCTTTGATATTTAAATCTCTTTGGTATTTAAATCTCTTTTAAAATATCTTGATAACCTTGAATAACCTTGAACAATGATGATTAATGAGAGGAATCATGTGCAGTCCGAGGAACGACAGAGTCTTTTCTTATGCAAGTGTCTTTTGTAATTTACGACAATAGTGGGACTCCAGGAAATCTGCAATCAGCTTTTCTATCCTAGGAATATAAACACGATAGATAAATCTCGTCATTAGCAGCACGAGGTGTAGGCATGATGTTCGCCGATGCGACGATGCATTAAAGGAAATCTACGATGCCATCGCAGATTCCACAAATATGCCTTACATCATTTTTATGACGCGAAAGATATTGCAAATTTTCTGCACTGAGGCATGTGATGATATTTATCGCAAATTTTCAGCACGGCTGATTGCACGGGCGTTTGCAACGCGGAAATACAACAAGTGCAACAAGTAATTCATTGATGAAAAGTAAATTGCCTGCAAATGGAAAACATATGGCCAAGTGTCTAACGATTTGTGGTCTACAAAGTGTAGTTTGCTGAGCTCAGCGTAATACATCTTCATTTTCATGTAAATATAAAGTTACAACGCGTGTGAGAATGTAGTTCATCTTACCGTATATAATTATCGCAAATAAATTTAGTATGTATTTAATGAATGATATATACAGCATTGATTACAGTTATATAATTATTTTATAAGTAAGAGAAACAATTTTACAATATATGTTAAATTAAAAAAAAGATTTATGATATTATAATATATTTATATTTCTGAAGCAATAAATAATTATAAATGAAAATTGGATAATCCTTTTTTGGCAAAAAAATGTGATTCTTTTATTTTTCATTAAAATATATCGTATGTTTTATAGGAAAATTGTGTCAACTTTATTTTAATGCTAGTAGTTCGTAGAACAGTTATCTTTTATTAAAATTATGTTGTTATCTTGATTAGTATACGCAAAATTGTGTTGTAATTGTTGCAAGATTATTTCACGACAAATCGTTGATGCAAGAACTTTACATCAATTCAGGCATGCCATTTGCGTTTCCTTGACACGCTCACTCGAATCGTTCGGAACGTGAAATTACTTTCAATGATTGGTTGCCTTCACCCGATTTACACAGGACAAAAACTTTTCTCGATATAACAAAAATTTTTTATTTTTATTTTGATGCGTTTGAAGAGTTTTGTTAGTCAGAAACCAAACACTTTTACAATGCTTAGATTTTAACTTATATTCATACAGAATATTTAATTAAAATGTTAAATACTTTTATTACTATAATTCTATATTTTGTACATTATACATTAATATTAGAAAAATATCAAAGAAATTTTTAAATAACGTTTTATGTAAATGTCTTTTGTAAATTATAAATATTAAAGGCACGGATAAAAAAAATAGTTAAAATTTAAATATGTCCCCTTTGTGCATCGTTAGGCAAGAAGATATCATGAGACATATCGTATTTTCAACAGCAATTGAACGATACATATGCCTTATTTCCTTTGCAAATGTTTTGACCGACTTTTGTGTGCTAATGTACAACATAATGTATATATTTGAGTATCTCTTTCTTTACCTTTCCCATTTTTCTACATACCCATTCATTAACATAGAAAATAATAAATAAATTTATTTGCATTTATCTATATATAAATGTAAAATAATTATATTTTTCTATTACTATTGCTTTTGCAAATTATATTTTATATTTGTCATTTTTACATACATTATCATTGATTGCCGTCGTCAAATGTCAACATGCAAGACCTTCTACAGTCGCATTATAATAATGTTATACTTGATACACATTTCTACACAAGAGAAAAAAAAACTATGTCAAAATATATGTTCATAAAGTTCATGTATAAGATTACTTTGATTTTCATCTTGATTTTTAACAATAGAATCTTTGATGAACTTTAATCCTTTCTTTTTTTCTTAAAATTTAATAAAGAAATCTATTATTTATTAGATCTCCTTAATGTTTAATTACGGCAATAAAAAAATAACGCAAAATGACATTGCAAAAATTTTTAAATATTTATTGAGAGAATTGATGATCCAAATGCATTATATGACTCGTTAAAGTTACTAATGCAGCTACGTGATAATAAATACAAAGATGCAACGAGGTGATATAGAGATCAAATAGATCGGTGATGTGAACGTAGATAGTGGAAAATAATGTTAACTTATTTATAAACCGCGCTAAACAATCAGCATTAAAAGAGCGATAAAATTGAAAATGCGCATGTATCGTTTTTTTTTTCTAGGCTCACGCATGATATGACTCAGTCTCGCGAGGTTCTGGCAATGATGGACGCGCATACAACCACATTCGGACGCAAAAGAGGCTGCACAATTTCCCGGTGTGGCGCCTTCCTTTTGGGCGCATTTTTTCTGATTAGTTTGGTTATCACCGGTTTGTTAGTATACCATTTTGCACCGTGCCTCGAGGAAAAACAAGTTCAACCATACTCCGATGGCAGCTCGCTCTTGGAGACCGGGAGAGGTTTTTCGAAGCTAAAGAAGAAATTAGATGTCAGATTACCGAAGTCTGTCATGCCGGATTTGTACGAATTGTGGCTGATACCTTTCATATGGGAGGGCAACTTTACCTTCAACGGCGAGGTAATATTTTTTTATTTTAGTGATACATTTAATATCTAACGAAAGATATTCTGTTTGAGTTGAAGTATTTTACTAATATTATATTTTACAAATAATTTTTTTTTATTAATTTTTTAAATAGTTTATATACATTTATCAAGGATGTGATATTGTTTTATCAACAAGTCTTATTGGATTTAACTTAAATATAATTCTTTAAACAATAGAATAATAGACGTCACTATTTGGCGGACAGGATTTTATAATTTTTTAATTTTTTTTTTAAATTGAATTTATATCTATAAATTTGTAATTGCTTAAATCGCAAACTATGTACCAACTATGTTATTACTAACAGACTTCTAACATAGCAGCTCAAAGACTTAAATTCTAAATCAATAATCTGAAAATCGATTAAACTCTTTTTTTTTCTTCCTACATGAAATTTCTATTGCGGAAAATATTACCTTAGCCAGGAATCGAATTTGGATATCCTTAGAACGAGTGTTTTCCTTCGATCACTGAAACATATAGTGATATTTATCGCAATAAGTGAATAAATATCGAAAAGAATGTATACCGATAAGTAAATAAATAATCAATGTAATAAGTCAAGATAAATTTTAAACAATAGAATAATAGATGGCATTACTCGGCGGACAGAATCTTAAGTGTCTTATAATTTTTTTATAATTCTCCAGAATTTGTAGAACAACACTTTTTGTATAAATATAGATTATTTTATTTAAAAATTATTATTAATTTAATTAGTATTAATTAGTATTAATTTAATATTCTAAATTTGTTGAATTTGACTGTCATATTTAATAATAAATTCAAGCGTTTTGTAATATTTCTCCTTGCTTTGACATTGTAAAAGATTTCTTCCACGATTTTAAATTATTGAAAGATAAACCGGTTTGAACTGCGAAATTATAGCGTAACATCTACTTTCTAGTGAGAATTGAAAGCGTAATGTTTTTCTGCATACTTCATTCTCAATTCCATGCGTAAGCTGCCGTCGAAGAGACGCGCCTAGTGATTGACGCAACCGTTCACTTTCATATGTTAGATCCATGCGGGAATATAGAGACTTAGGCAGATCACGTGCGTCCCGATCTCAATTCCCCGTCAAACTTCATTTTTCTTCTTTTCACTTTCTGTCTGTCTTAGCTCGCGATGATCTTTCGAATTGTAGTCAAGGAAGAATATTTTAATACTTCTTCTTCTTCTTCTTTCTCTTTTATAAATGTCTTCTCTTCTTCTATATATAGGCTTAAAAATCTATTTTTTTATTTATATTTAAATACGTATCTTGAATTTAAAAAATGCTATGTGCGTGTTATTCAAGAAACTTTGCATAATCAAAAAAAGTTAATCAAAAATTGTAAAAATAATTAAAAATACAGTATTCAAATTTTGCGGTTTTAGAGAAGATTAAACATGTTACTGATTCGCGTTTATAAGCGTTGTCTTGTAAAAATAGAAATATTAATGATTTTGTTCAGGTTAAAATTTTGGTGAACGTAACAATGGACACGAGCAATGTTACGTTGCACGCCGCCGACATGAAGATCGACGAGAGCTTTACGAATATCAGGGAATACTCGGGTAAAAGCAACAAGACCAAGGTGATCGGGATCGCGGAGCAGAGAAACGACACCGACAGGCAATTTCACGTGATTAGAACATCGAACACGTTGAGGAAAGGCAAGCAATACGTCGTGCATCTCAAGTTCATTGGCCATTTGAACGACTACTTGCAGGGTTTCTACAGGAGCTCGTATACGGTCGGCAATCAGACGAGGTAAACGACGCCGCAATTGAATTTCGTGGCCGGTGTAAATTTAGATTTGTTCCTTCGCGCTTGAATTATTTTGAATAAAAAGTGCCATTTTATCTAAAGCGCATTCCAATATAAATTATTTTATTTTTTATTTTTAAGCTCTAAAAATTTCAATCTAAAGAATGCTCTATCAGATAACATATGATATTACTCTATAGATAAGTTTAAACATCAAAAGACAAATTTAAATTAATTTTTCAAAGAGAGAGAGAGAGAGAGAGAGAGAGAGAGAGAGAGAGAGGAGAAGGAGAGAGAGAAAAGACGTTCTTAATTATCTTTCGCTTTTGATTTCTAACATTGTCTCGTAGTCGGATTTATTGTCGCAAACTATTTTGATTAAAGAACAAGTGATTATCTTTTGAATAGTCTCGTTGCGGTCGCGTGTTTGGCTCACGTACAGATTCAATAAGAAACAAGGGTTCCTCTCGACTATTTGCCAAAGGTATCTGGATTCTGCATTATAGATGGATTGCCGCGACTCAGTTTCAAGCAACGGATGCGCGCCGTGCTTTCCCGTGCTTCGACGAACCGGCTCTAAAAGCCAAGTTCCAGATCAACATAGCGCGTCCCAGAAACATGACATCTATCTCAAATATGCCCAGGAAAGGGGAACCGATGCCAGTGTGAGTAATTCTATGTTTCGTGTTACGAGTAGCGTCGTTGTGTTGTTGTATAAATCTAATATTATCTTCGGGGAATTTCGACGATCGAATTCACGATTAACTGGATGGATTTTTGTTTAGGACGAAATATAATCGTAATGTGAAAAATGATGTTATCTTTTTCTAAAATAAATATTTTATAAAAAGTCTAATATATCATTCCATTTGACATGGATAAAGTTTCAAAATTTGCAAAATATTATTTTTGCATTTTAGCGATCAAAGATAAATACGATCGTAATTTGTAACATAGTTAAGATAGATTTCTCTTAAAGTATCAGTTTTAGAAAGTATAGTTAAATGCAAAATTTTAAAGAATATTTTATTTTTGCTTAATATTCAGACCCGGTTTAGATACGTATGTTTGGGATCATTACGAGCGTTCGGTACCAATGTCGACATATTTGGTGGCCTTCATAGTTTCCGACTTTGATGTACGGAAATCAGAAGATAGCAACTTTCGAGTTTGGGCGCGTCACGACGCCATTAATCAATCACAATACAGTTTGGATATTGGACCGAAAGTACTCAGATACTACGAAGACTATTTCAAGATCAAGTTCCCTTTGCCGAAGATGGATATGATCGCGCTACCCGACTTTTCCGCTGGCGCTATGGAAAATTGGGGATTGATAACTTACAGGTGAGAATAGATTGATGATTATAATTATGTGACATTCACTTTGTTGCTATACAAAGTAAAATAATATTATTAATCCTATTTTATAATATTCTAAATATGTATTAAACGAGTTCCAACATGTTGCAATACATAGTAATTATCTAAATGTTTCACAATATATTTATTCCTTTGCATAGACATATATCCATATATTCCATATATTTATATTTATTATAAACAAAACAAAGGTAATCGTTCGTTTTATCACAAATTGCTGTTAAATATGTATGTAAACTGTTAAATTTGCATAACGATACGATTCTGTGACTATTAAATAACAGCAAATACTTCTGTCAATTATCATTTGAAAAAGGTAGTTTATAAAATTCGAGATTATTTTTATATGATTATAAATTGGTAAATGGAATACAGAAGGTATATGCTAGTAAATATATGAGAAGGCAATCAATTTGTTACTTTGTTGATTCAGAGAGACAGCAATGTTATATCAGGACGGCGTATCGACCAGTAGCAGCAAGCAGCGAGTAGCCGTTGTGGTATCTCACGAGCTCGCGCATCAATGGTTTGGAAACTTAGTGACTCCAAGTTGGTGGACGGATCTTTGGTTGAATGAGGGTTTTGCCAGTTATATGGAGTATATCGGCATGGATGCTGTAAGCAATATTTACGTATTGCATACGATATTGAGTTTGCTGTATCGCGACGTCGCGTGTTGGCAAATCGGCGATTTATGAAATCAGAGGATGTTTGATTCTTCGAACGCACTTGATGCGTTCTATATATCATATTGTAAAATATGAAATATAAAATATAAAATTAAAATATAAAATATAACTTTCTAAAACGTAGGTAGAACCAACGTGGAAAGCGCTGGAACAATTCGTCGTTCACGATCTTCAAAATGTATTTGGTTTAGACGCTTTGGAGTCTTCTCATCCCATATCTATTGAAGTTGGCCACCCGGATGAGATCAGTGAAATCTTTGACAAGATTTCTTACGGGAAAGGTACTTGATAGTTCGTGGGGATTATGATGATTTTTAATAAAATTAGTCTAATTATATCTGTACTGAAATTGTCTAGGTGCTTCCATAATAAGAATGATGGATCATTTCCTGACAACAGAAGTTTTCAAAAAGGGTCTAAGTAATTATTTAAATGGAAAGTGAGTAAAAATTAACTAATTAACTAATATTCTAAACTTTTATGACAATTTATAAATAAAGTATTTTAAAATTAATAATGATTAAAATTGACATTTTACGGTATTGTAAATGTAAATAAAATTTTGTAAATTAATTTTTATATAACGCAAATAGAAATAATTGATGGTATTTCTATGTTTTCAATAGAGCCTATCAAAATGCTGAGCAAAACGATTTGTGGTACGCTTTGACCAAACAGGCTCACCAAGATAAAGTACTTGACTCAAACGTAACTGTTAAAGAAATAATGGATACTTGGACCCTACAAACTGGTTTTCCTGTAGTCACCGTTACGCGAAACTATAAAAATGGTAGCGTCTCGTTGACACAGGTATGCCGATAATTAAAAATTTAATATATAAAATAAAAGAATAAAATAATTCGTTAAATAATAATTTAATAATAATAATAATTAAATAAATAGATACGTGACATTTCTAAAATCATGTGTCTGATTCGTATGTCTTTTATTTTTTTTTTATATATAAATATTATTTTGTCATAAAAAAAGATCATTAAATATATATTATATTGCATTACCTGTTGTTACCTATAATAATTCGATTAACGTATATTATGTTTGACATGACTTATAATATTATATAATAATATTATGCGTATCATCTACTTCTCGCAGGAACGCTTTTTGCTTCGTAATAGCGCCACGATAGTCATATCTGAGTCGGAAATGCCATTATGGTGGATACCCATCACTTATACGAGCGAAAAGCAATTAAACTTCAATAACACTCAGCCCATGAAATGGATGAAAGCGGAACGCTCAATCATCCTTAATGATTTAGATGTAAGCTCCTCTCAGTGGATACTTTTCAACGTGCAAGAAACTGGTAATTATATCATGAATTAAATACTTACGATAAAATAATGATAATTTTTGTTGTAAAAATGAAAGAGATTTACTTTCAACTACTTTTTTAAAAATATTTAAAAGAATGATAGGTTTATTTGTCTAATATTATAAAAGTATAAACATGATATCAGATAAAATATTTTTTGCATATTTTATAGGATATTACAGAGTGAATTATGATAGGGCAAACTGGCAGATGATAATAAAACAATTGAATAAGCAAAATTTCAAAGACATCTCAACGATTAACCGAGCACAGTTGATCGATGATGCTCTTAATTTGGCTAGAGCTGGTAAGCTCGATTACACCATCGCATTCGATGTTACATCTTACTTGGCCCATGAAATTGAATATTTGCCTTGGAAAGCAGCTTTTAATGCTATGGACTATCTTAACGATATGCTAATCAAAACACAGGGCTATGACAAATTTAGGGTAATTATTTATCAAGCGAAAAGCTTAATGTTAAATATTTATAAAAATAAATATCAATTGCTGCTTAATTTTATATCTTACAATTAGTATTAGCGATATAACGTACTCTTTAACTTTCTTTAGTTGTATATATTGAAACTGCTCGACAATGTGTACAAGCAAGTTGGTTTTATTGACAAAGTGGGAGATCCTCAGCTGACAGTCTTTACTCGGATTGATGTTCTAAATTGGGCGTGTAACTTCGGCCATGAGGATTGCGTTACAAATGCTGTACATCAATTTAAGGATTGGCGTAACACTCCGAATCCGGACGTTAATAATCCGTAAATAGAAATATTATATTATTTAGATGATTAGATTATTTATTGATATTTTATCATGTTTTTAAATACACAAAATAATAAAGTTATATAATTTGTCCTATTAGCATTAGCTGTACATTAATTGTTTTATTCTAAATTCTTTATTATCTCTAGAGAATAATTGATAAAATTATTTATCTTTATAACTATTAAAAACTTTTAGAATTTCCCCGAACTTGAAGAGCGTCGTTTATTGCACAGCGATTCGCGTGGGTGGACAAAGCGAATGGGAATTTGCTTGGCAACGATACCGAGGAACTAATGTGGGATCGGAGAAGGATCTGCTTTTGCAAGCATTAGCTTGCACAAGAGAAATATGGTTGCTCAGTCGATTCGTAGATTGGGCTGTCACAGAAAATTCAGGCATCAGAAAGCAGGATGCTGCCCGTGTTTTTGGATCGATCGCCAACAATATCGTCGGGCAACCGCTCGTGTTTGATTACTTCAGAAACAACTGGGAGCATCTGAGGAAATAGTGAGGAAATAGTAATAGTTATCTATCTTTTATTTTTATATATTTGTGTTATTATAACACAGAAAAAAATAGAGAAATTACTAGAAAAACCCGAAAATTTTTATTATTATAAATTTTTATTTTAAATGTATAATTATGTTTTACTTGTTAAAACTTGATGTAACATATATCTTTTATTATTTCCAGTTTTGGAACGTCACTATCAAACATCAATAACATTGTAAAATCGGCAACGAGAGGAATAAGCACGAAATACGAACTAAAAGACGTAAGTTTAATATTCTGATTTGAGCAAACTTGAAAATAATTTATAAATAAAAAATTAAATTAAAATAAAAAATAATTCAAATATTAATCTTCCGGTAAATTCGATAAGCGGAATACGCATAATCAATATTTATAGAAATCTTGTTTATTTCTTTGAAAAAAAGTGATTCTTTGAAAAAAAGTGCAATATGCTCACTTTTTATATCTTATTCTTCTAGCTGGTAGAATTTGCAAAGAGTCATATTGAGGAACTTGGTACTGCAACGCGAACCATACAACAAGCGATGGAACAAGCGGAAGCCAATATACGATGGATCCATAACAATCACGCGACGATTCGCGATTGGTTACAGAGAAACACTGCGTAATAATAGTTGATATTGACAGAAAATTATTCTTTCTCTGCGGGATTGTTTCTCAATCGTGACTGGATCGATGTTTCATATCGCGCACGTTTGATTTTTCGCCGAATTTTTAGCGCCAAGTGACGCGCGAAAATTCTGTATGATAAATTGACAGATGGAATAAGTCGAATGAAATTGTGAAGTAGTCTCGTTAAATCATACAAGAGTATTAAATGTTTTTGTATGTATTTGTAAATATATGGGCCGTCATTATCGCGATATTTATAACACAGAGAGAAAGAGAGAGAGATGGTATTCTCTCATAATATGGCACGTTCACATTCCTGATTATGCCGCTAGATTACGAAGCATATTTTAAATATATGTGGGAGGATTGATAGCATTAATAATCCCTTTACAATAGATCTCGGATCATAACTGCTATAAACATCACTCTAAGTCTGAAGAATTTTATTGTGAATTCACTAGATAGACCAAAGGAGCAGAAGAGAGGATTTATGTTCGAAGTAAAAATGGATATTATGAGAAGTAGCGGATTTGTTGTAAAATTCTCAATCTTAAAGTTATACGTATTCTTAACTAAATATTGCTAAAAATCAGTTTATAAGTACGTCATTATAGACAATTGTACATCAGGTCAAAGTGATCGAAGTGATAATTGATACAAATCATCAGAGAAATTCATATATAATTCATAATTAATAGGAGTCGCGTTTTCAGCGACCACTGAAAAACATTCGATATAATGCATGTTGAACAACTAGATATTTTTAATCGCTCATTAATAAAGACAATAAAAATATTTATATGTATAATGTGGCAAATATATACTATACATACGTTGAAAATTCTTTGCTTAAAAAATTAAATATTGTCTATAGCATGAGTTAATGCTTCATGTACTTAGAATATGAAAGAATCTTTTATTCTTAACAAATGATTATCGACATAACCAGTTGCTAACAATTATGCGATAAAATTCAACTATTCACTAAAGATTCGTAGTTTGTATGCCTATGTGGCAAACTGTATTTTATAACAGCAAACATCTACGGAAAATAATATTACTTTATTTTGAAAATACCTATTACACGTCATATAAATATAATAAAATTATATTAATTTTTTTACAAACTTTGTCATATACCTATTTCATTGTTTATTAATAAAGGAACAAGGATGTGTTTTCTCATTATTAATTTACGAACTTTAAAACTTTTCAAATAGACATTAAAAAAATTGATTTCTTAATTATATCTCATTATAGCTATAATGAAACTAGTATTTAGTTTTATTAATTATTGTTAATATAAAGCAATTTATTGTTATTTTTTCTACATTATTGTTCTATTTTACGGTAAGTATACACTAACATCCTATCAAATAATTTCATAAGTATTGTTTCTGAAATATTCAATGCACTTTTCAAATTTAATTAAGATATGAAATAAATATAATTAATAAATAAACATCAATTGATTGTAATATATAATTGAGAAATGTTTTAATAAACGAAATATTTTTATTATTATATATATATATTTTATACTATTTAAATTAAAGGTACAATTTTTTATATTAAAATACGATAAAATATTATATACATGAATAAAATATAATTTCGCTGTTATTCTATATAGATTTCTATAAAAAAAAACATATAAAGAAAATATGATTCATAAAGAATACATTTTTTTATTTTGCATAAGAGAAAGCTAAAGAAAAATCTTCGCCATTATTTTTAATTTAATTTAATTTAATTTTAAGTTTTTTAGTAATAGCTTAAAAAGTATGATATTAAAGCAATAAAAATCATAGAAATGACATTAAATGATTCAATCCTTGGAGAACTGTTTCCTTTTTGAGGCTGGAGTTTCGTTATCCATTCCCTAATTTTAGGACCATTATTTGTCAACCATATTAAATTAGTTTCCGCAGTATTAATTGCAGAAAATAATTTTTCTCTGGCTGATGGAGGATGTAGGTCTGAATAAAGTTCGACGAACAGTAACACCTGAAAAAATAGGATATATTATTGCCATTTAATATATTAGATAATTTTAATTTATAATTTTTCTGCTTTATATAATTAATTAATTGATATAATCATTAGATATAAAATATACATTAAAAATATATAATCAATGTATATCAAAGTTACATATTTAACATAATAATATATTGTAGGAAACTTTGAAATCAGTACTGACAAGTAATTCAATTAAAATAACAATACGTAAAAATAAATATATAAACAAAAGTTCTTATTTTAAAAATTTTGATTTTGTCACTTTTTTGAAATAAAAATTCAAACAAATCGTACCTTGTCTCGTTGATATTCACTTGATACATGTGATGCTACATTAACAAGCAAACTTGCGACATCGTCCCAATTGTCGAAACTGTAATGGAAATGTATAAATATAAGAATATTATTACTGTATTTATAATATTGTAGTATTGTAATACTGATACTCACTAACTGTGTATATGCCTGACATTTATTAATAAAAAGTCGAGGGTAACATTTACTCCAATTGAACCTGTGCTATATACGGAACTAAATACTGCTGAAACGTCTTGTCGTCGAATTTTAGAGTTTGCAGGATTTTTCTGTATTTCAATGGCTTCTTTCAAGTATCTGTTTAAAAAGAAGTTATTATAAGTTTAAAATGAGTCCACAGTGTTTATTGTCATTACAAAATATAGTATAATAATATAGTAGATAAAAACAAATAATTAATAACAAAGATGGAAACAAGTAATAAAGAGATTATGATTATACAAATTTTTATTAACTCCGTGATGGATTTAATATTCTATTGTTTCAAATATTCTTATTTTTAAGAAATACAGGTAACAATGTATATATATTTTAATATTCATTACTTAATTATTATATCAAATATTATTAAAAATGTTAGAATCAAGTTAACTTTTCTAAGTTATTTTTATGCACATATTTTCATTATATGTTATATAAATTAGAAGAATAAGAATGATAAAACCTAAAATCCTGTAAGTTTTAAAATAGTATAATGCTATTGTTGTTTTCTCTGTTTGGAAACTTACCTTTGAAGCACTTCTCTGTTTGTTGAGCATCCAAGTGCCTTTATAATGATCTTCTTTTCCGTTGCAAAGTTTGTCGTTAGATATTGTTTCCACAGAAATTCCCAATCCTCCGGAGTTCCGTATTTCAATGCAGTGCAATAGACAGCTGGTCGTGCATTAATTGGAATTCTATAAATAAAAAAAGTTTAATATAAAATATCATAAATTTGATAATAAAGATATCTATTTTATAATTAAGCTAATATGCACGGGTACATTTAATTTTCTATCAGATTTTAGAAGAGAATTGGAATAAATGTAAGTTCAATGATATTGTCAAAGCTTGTTAAAATTTTACCGTTTAGAAGAATCATTACGCCAAGCCTTAAATAGTTCCACAGATTTTAAGATGTATTCGTGTTGATTAAGCTTGCAAGTCCATTGGAGAATCAGTTCTCGATTTAACTTATCTAAATGTTTGTCATTTTCGTTATCAATGAAATTTATCTTTTCAGTCATGTTAGATAATAAATTCAAAACGTATTGGCTTAAATTATGTTGAAATATGGTGTTTTCAAATCTTTCATAGACGTAGGATAGGCCGTTGAAGAACGCTTTCCAGGGTAAGTGATTCGTTTCCTGTTTCAAATATTTCGTTGCGTTCAACAATAATTCATAGTCTACGTAACCAGCGCGAGCCAAATTAAAGAGATCGTCTACAATTTGGGCACGATTTAAGACGTCGATAGCTTCGAATTCTTTATTATTCAATTTGGTAATTAATCGTTGCCATGATTCAGCGTCATAATTTACACGATAGAAGCCGGTTTGTTTGTAATTCACGATGAACCAATCGTTAGTCGGATTGATAAATGTCTTTACAGGTTCTGCTCCTAGCCAAAATTTGTGTTTTAAAGTAAAAGAATTGAAGTAATCGGCTGGGACAAATATTTCAATTGGTATCCAATAAAATTCGTCGCTAGAGACATTTCTATCCATTAGGAATCGTTCCTATATAACAACACATTAAATTATAATATTTTAAAATCAGATATGAGAAAAAATGTATAGCTGAAAAGCGATATAAAAGCGATATAAGATTATGATGTTACCTGAGTAAGCGTTAATAGAAAACCATCTAAAGTAGCAGTGACGATAGGATATCCCGGCTGATTCGTCCAGGTATTCATCACTTCCTCGACGCTTGCGTTTCTCTCTTCGTTAATTGGTACCGATGTAAGTGATTCGAAGCTTTCCCATAAATCCGTAGGACGTGACGTCTTGTATTGTCGTTTTGTTAGATAATTGCGGAGTGCTTTTAAATGAATTTCTTCGTCAAATGCGTTAAACATCATTCGTAAGACACTGGCAGCTGAAATACAAATATTTTTATATTAAATATTAAAGAGTTTCACGCCTTAAATATCGATATATACATAAGCTTTGCATCTAATTTAGTAATACTGTTTTCTAAAATTATAAGACAAAACGTTGTTATAACTCGCTTTTGGAATAATAAATTTATAATAATAAATTTTATAACTATTTCGCGCTTTGCATAAATTTTTATATTTTGTATTTATGGAAGCTTTGTATTTATGGAAAAATCGTGAAAAATTGAGATTCTCACAAGGATATTAAATGTTATGCGTGATACTTGAGCATTAAGACAGATGTTTATATTTATACAAGATACATACATTTTCCGTAAGTGACATAGTCAAAAACGTCAGCTATTTCCTCTGGTGTTTCAACGGGATTTGTCATTGGATGTGCTGAAAGCGAATCATCTTCTGATAGAGCAGCTTGCAGCTCGTAAACCACAAATTGATCCATGAACTTGTAATCTGGCAGTATCTAAAGAAATAACGCAAATAAAAACTATTGCTTCTATTATTTATGATTTCTGTATCACTAGAAAGATTCAAGTTTATGATAAATTTGGTTTTTTAAAAATTTGAATACATCTGAAATTGAACTTAATTTCTCAAGTTTATAAAGAAAAATAAATTTTGAAAAACTTTGCAAAACAAAGTTTTTATTTTTTGTTGGTGAAAAGAAAGTCTTACCCGATCGGATATGAACGATTCGAAATATTGCGCAAAACCTTCATTAAGCCAAATGTAATCCCACCATTCGCAAGTAACTAGATTTCCAAACCACATATGAGTAAGTTCATGGGCTATTACGGTGATTAGGTATCTTTCGCTTGAGGCTGTGATTTCGTTTTTATCGTAGAAGAGTCCGTATTCACTGTTAAAAAATAAATATCATTATTTATATGTATCGTATAGAAAAAATTAATTGTAGTAAATCTAGATGCCATATATGTACGTAACAAATGTTAAAAAAAATAGTAATATTACCGGAAGGTAGCAAGACCCCAGTTTTCCATCGCGCCATTTGAAAAATCTGGAATTCCGACCAAGTCTAGTTTGCGTAAAGCATAATTAATATTCGTGAAATTTTCTAATGCGTTGATAATCTTTTTGCCGATATCTTGAGCGTAATTGCCGTGTTTTATGACTTCCGGTCTACCCCATACATTGACAATTGCATTCTCAGGTTTCGCAGATTTAAATTCGGAGATAACAAACGCCACTAGATATGACGACATTTCAACGCTAGTTTGGAATGTGACCCATGTATAATTTTCGTTCCTAAAATAACAGATAATTGTAATAACGTAAAACTTTTAATTTGTACTTTTTATGTTACTAGACTAAATATTTAAAAAATTTCTATATATATATATTCAAGTTTGTTAAATGTATTTCCAATTGTACTTACTTTGGTGGTTTAGGTGATGCTGTTGTATTTACTGGCATATTACTCAATGCGTTGTATTTCTTTAATTTTTGAATGTTAATTGTGAATTTCGATTTAAACGCTGGTTCGTCGAAGCAGGGAAAGGCTTGTCTGGCATATGTAGGCTCGAATTGTGTTGTAGCTAGCCAACTATGAAAGAATAAAATAAAGCAAGATAAATAAAAAATAATAGAGTTAATTTAATTTTGTCATTTTTGCATTAATGTGTTGTCATAATTAAGATTTTTAATTAGGAATCTAAAAAGTGATATAAAATTACATGTTTTTTTTAAGTAAATCGAAATATATGTTATTTATTATTGCATGTTATAAATTAAATTAAATATATTATTTAAATATTAAATATTATACTTACTGTAGCTTTCCATCTTGATCGAAATAAGAACTGCGATAAAATCCGTTCATATTATCATTAAGAGTTCCATTAAAATTGATTTTCACTGTTACTTCCTCGTCCACATGTAGGTATTCGGATAAATATAATCTAATTTGTTGTTGAGGAATACGTTTTGTATGATTCAATAATTTTATTTCTAAGTTGTCTCTGAAGACTTTGATATTTGACTCTGTAGTGAGATGGTGAGAATTCAAAACTATTAATGAAGTACTTTCTCGAACTGCGATTTTTATTTCTACTGTTCCTTCGAAGGTTCCTTTTTCCATATCAGGTGTAAGATCTATATTGTACAGTTTTGGATGAAGTGTCTTCGGCAAGCGGTACGTGTAGTGTGGAAATAGATTGTCTAATGTCTCAAAAATTACTGGTACATTCTTGTCATACCAATCAAATTCATACTTCGCCGTTGCCAAATAAGATTGGACGGATGTCTCGAATTCCGGTTCCTTATCAACTAACCAGGTAAGTAATTTTTGATACTGAGAATAAAAATAAATTTAATTGAACACATATTGTTTAACGCTCAGAATTCTAAATAGTAATTTGTTATTTATTAAGATTGTGTAAAAAATATTTGAAAAAAATGCAAAAATTATATATTCTGATGAGGTTATTTGATTTTTCTGAACAAAAATTTTATTAAGAAGTTCAAAGACTTTACTAATTATTAATATCTGATTTAATTTAGTTATTAACTTGCTATTTTAATTTAATATTTAATAGAATAGAAACTAGTATATATAATTCTCGAGAAATTTAATTATTGTTTTTATTTAACTATTTTTGAGAGTTTTTATTTCTCTTGCAATTTTGATTAGATAAAATTAGTCAAAATGATATAATATGGTATAGTATGGTAAATTACCTGATTGTAGAGTTCAGAAGTAGATAGTCTGCTTGCCAAAGCGCTAACTATATTTCCAATTTTTGTATAATCATAAAAACTGTAATAAAATATAATATATTGTATATGTAATGTATGATGTATAATGTTATTGTACAATCTTTATTATATAAAATTATTATATAAAATTATAATAAATAATTATAATAAATAATTATTATATAAAATTATTTACTCACTGTTGACGCAGTATATCATCATAATATTTTTCAATAACTTGCATGACAACTTCAACACCAATTAAACTTGCATCATAAACACTGGAGAATACTTTTGCACTATCTTGGTATCGTATGGGTGAATTCTCTGCGACTGCATCTCGCAATAGCCTTGTTTTAACAAATAAATTTATTATACATATATTATAATCTATTAATATAATTAGTCTATTATAGCTGTTTTTTTCAAAAATTTTTAATAAACTCTCTTTCTCATAAAATCAATAAGACAATAACAATAAATTTGAACATCAAAATATTTATAAAATAAGTTGTGTATTTTGATAATTTTTATGGATTATATTTTTAAAATAAAATAATAAATTTAATTTGTTATAACATATTTATATATTCATATATATGGAGAAAATTCAAGATATTATGTATACTTACTTTTCTAAAACAATTTTGTTCTCTGAACAAGCCAACGCGTTAAGAATTACAAGTTTGTCTGTATGCACATTACTGTTCAAGTATTCCTTCCATAGGAAATTGTAAGTATTGATTGTCTTATCCGATCTCATGGCTGTACAGTAAACGACATCGCGATAATTTGGTGGGATTCTGTAAAAGAATTAATAATTGAATTCTGCTGA